GAGCGGGGGAGCAGTATTTTTGACGGGTGCCTCTGTGTAACCCTCTGCAGCCCCCAGGAGCAGGGACGGCCCTGCACCAATGGGACGATCCGGGTCCGGACCTGGCACTCTGGGAGGGCCCTGCTAATCAGCTTGGCAAAGATTGCCTGACCTCCGGCTGCAGACACTGGGTCTCCGGTCAGCCACACCAGGAAGGGGCTGAATGGCTCAGGCTGCCTGAGTTGGGGCACAGGGCACCGGGCTGGCTGGGCCAAGAGACCCACCGGGCCTCCCTGTCTGTCCACCTCCCTGCTCACCGGGGCACACTCCTGCCTCTAAGCCTGGTGCTGGCCTGGGTCAGGTACCTGGAGAGGTAGGGGCAGGGGCCTAGACTGAGGGCTAGGGTGAAGGGAGGAGTTGGTGAGATTGCAGACATTCCTCAGCCGGGAGGTGCAGCCCAGGGGCTGGGGAACAATGCTTCCGGCATCTCACCTCCTGGTGATGGGGACAGGACAGATAGGGGCTGGAGGGGTCACATCCACCCCAAGGCCTGGGGCCTGCCTGGGCAGCCTTTTGCCACCCAGGGGGATCCCAGACCTGAGAGTGCAGAATGGCTGGATCAAACCAGCTCAGCCTGTCCCAGAACACGCCGCGCCCCTGGAGCACCCACACGTTGGCAACTGGGACTGGGGGAGAAGAGCGAGCCCGAGTCTCGGCAGGCTGGTGCGAGGAGGGGCGTGCTGGGGCGCACTGGGTCCTGGGCACCAGCAGGGGCAGTGGGGACAGGCCCAGCAAGTGTGGTGTGGGTGGGGGTAGGACAGGAGAGAGAACCCAGTCAGAGGTAGGGGTGAGTGGGGAGGGCAGAGACCACGAGGACATGGATCATACGCTGGCCACTGCCATGCTGGGCAGTCTCACTGCCCAGGGCCCTGCCTGCCCATCCGCAGGGGACAAGCTCTCTGTGCCCGCCCTCTGTGGTGAGGACCTCGGAGCTGGCTGGGGTCTGAGGACCTTCAGGCCTGGGAGAGAAAGGGCGCCCCTCCCCCGCCCTCATCTCTGCCTGTCCCCTTGGGCTGGGGCCCAAGGACACCCACCAGGAGAGCCTTTACTGGCCAGGACTTGCACCGGGGAAAAAAGGAGGGGGCGGCTTGCGGCCCCCCCCCCCCCCCGGCTGGCCGCTTCCCTAACCCCCCCCAGCAAGCCAGCTCCTGTCACCGTCCCCCTTCCTTCCAGAGCCCTCCTGGGGCCCCAAGTCTAATTCCCCCAACCCAAACACCCTAGAGACATAGGCCCCCCACCACACCCAGGCCCTTGGCCTGCCCGTGCCCCCTGCAGCACCCCTTCCTGGCCCTGCCTGGCTCTTGGCCCAGCCAGCCCGGTGCCCTGTGCTGTTCCGGCCGCTCCAGCACAGCCCCCGGCCCTCCCTCCCTCCTCGGACAAGCACGGGAGTGAAGACACGGAGCCAGAGCCCGGGCGCCGGCCTGAGGGCCCCGGGTGGGCGGGCCGAGGCAGCAAGGTCTGTGTAGGTGAGTGACTGTGCGCTGGCCTGGCTCTGGCCTCGACCCGCAGGTAAGCTCCAGGACCTGGACGGCAGGCAGTGGACGGGCAGATGCAGGCCAGGTCGCCCACAGAGCAGCCCTGCACTTCGAGAATCAGCATGTGCTCTGCCTGGGCAGGGCTGAGCACACCGAGCCGCAGAGCCCGGTCAGCAAACCTCCCGCCAACCTCCGGTGTGCCTAGTCCCAGCCAGCCTGAGGGCGCCCCGCCAACGCTGCAGCCCTTCCTGCAGGTCCAGGGCATCCTGCCTCCCAGGGCCCTCCAGGGCTGCCCTCCTCTCCCCTGCATCCAGCATGCACAGCAGATGCCCAGGCTGTCCTGGGAGGGGACTGTGCTCAGATGGTGTCCCCAAGTCCCTTTGGAGCAGCTCCTCCAGGCCTGCTCCTACTGCAGAAGCTCCAGTACTCCCAGATTCAGATCAGGTCCAGACCCCACTTCTCCCTCTCAGCCCCCACACCCAGCCTGGGGCTCAAACACCCTGAGCTCCCTCTCTGCCAGTCGCAGCCAAGACCCCTCCCATGGCAGCCCCACCTCTGTCGCTGGACACAGGTCACGTTTCCAGGCCGGCCTGGCAGCCGCTGTGACTGGTGCCTGGAGCCCTCCAGAGGGGACTGCAGAGAGGTGATGGCGCCTGGCCAGCCGGCCCTCTAGAAGCTTCCCGGGTGGCCTGCAAAGGCGCCCAGCCGGCCTTTACAACCACATCCTAGCGGCTCCGCCCACCCAGCCCAGCACCCACGGTATGCAGCCCCGCCTGGGCAGCCGGCCTACACCACCTGCCCTCCTGAGCAGGCCACGCACGGCTTCCGGGCTCCCAGGCCGCCGAGCCCAAGGGAGAAGCCCACAGTCCAGGACCCCACCCCCGGGTGTTATCTGGCCCACTGAGGGGGACAGCAGGCTTCCCCCACGCAGCAGACCCTCTCCCCAAGGCCCGCCCCTGCTCCCTCTGCTCCTGCCCCACCGTGGGCGAGCGCGTCCACCCGCCAGCAGCCGGCTGGGAGTGTCCTCCTGGGGGGTGAGGCGGCAGGCCAGGCTGATGCAGGCCACTTGTGCACCTGCTGTCTGGCCAGGGAGGGACTTCTCAGACCACCTCGGGGCCTCTCAGCTCTTACAAACGCTTCCACTGCCTCCACAGCCCGCCGCACTCCCCACGTGCGTCCCTCCTCTCCACACAGCCCCACCGCTCCCAGAAGCCCGCCACCACTTCACCCAATGACAGGGTCACCAAGGCCCCATCTGTCACGCACTGGGACCCCAAACTAAGGGACAGGGGCACAGCGGCCATCTCTGCGTTGGGGGAGGACTCCCCCTCCCCGCCATCCCCGGTGCTGCCGAGCGGCAAGGGCGAGACTGGCCTGGCAGCGGGACAAAGGCTCTTAGGCTCGGCGGCACCAGTGCCCCGCGAGGTCCAGGGGCAGGTCGCTAGGTCCCCGGCCGGGGTCGCAGGAGCGCGTGCCAGAGCCAGGTCTGCACCCGGGCCGCGAGGCTGGGCGCTGGGGCAGTGGGGGCGGCGCGCAGGGGGGGG